ATATTTACTGGGGAACTGACACATTCTCTGTATAAACATATCATCAGACAGAGAAAATTAGAGGGGAAGAAAAGGACTTTATACCTTTTCCCCTAATGTGCATGAAGACTTACTGGATTTAACTCATAGCTGTCACTCATAAAATGGTGTTTTATGTATCTACCTTATTGTAATTTTTTTTTAATTGTAAATGTTTTTTTTTTTTCCTCTTTTTTTCTTAAAGTTGAGCATATGCAACAAATCCAGAGAGCATTCTTCTTTTTGAGTTCCATGGACTAAAAAGCATGCAAGCTCTTATGAGTTAACTCTTGATTCATGCAATGGAATAATGTCTCACAACTCCTGATTGTGTAGGGTTCTATTTCTAATTTCCAGACCAAAGAGCATTTGTAATACTAACCACTTTAAAGGTTTCATCTTTCTGGAAACTCCAATTTTATATCTTGAAGTCTTGAACACTCCTGTTCCTGTTGCAAGTAGTTCTCTGATACTTCGAAAATGCAATAGTGAGTAGATTGCCCTAATGAGACTCTGCTATCAGCAAGCTAGGAAAGAAGAAAAGCGAGAGAAAATATACTGAAGCTTCATCCTGTGGAACTGGTATACATTTTATCTAACATCAGCCATTGGAAAGCTAGATTTCAAGTCACAGACAACTATCTAAACTTCTGAAGAGTACAAAGGGGCAAAGTATCTCCCTCAAGGACCAATAATCTGGCACTATGGATGGTGTTTGAAATGGTAAAATATATCAGCCCTTGAATGTACCAATTGCTTTCCACAGTAGAAGGAAATTGAATTGCAAAGGGATAAAGGCCAGACTGAAAAGGCCACTGCAGTACTGAACACTGAAACGCATCATGCTGTGCAGCACTCTGCAGTAAATGTTAGTCAACTAAAGAGAGCAGAAAGCCTTAGCCAAGAAGAAAACAACGTATTTTCTTTAAAGCCAAAGAAAAGCAGAGCTGAATGAGGAAGAACACTGTCAGAGGAACAAATATCGTGTGGAGAAAAGCTATAAAGTTAAAAGATCATGAGTGCTCAAAGAATACAAATATGAACAGTCAAAACAATGAGTACAAACATTTCATAGCTATATTAACAACAACAGAGAATTTGATTGGTTTAGGCAGAGAATTATGAGATGGAGGGACCTGTGATAAAGCTGAAATATATATTATATATGTAAACTACTGTGTTCATGGAGGTGAAAGGCTGCAGCTATTTCTTTTTGTTTGTTTGTTTGTTTATTTTATAGAGAGAGGAAACATTTCTGTTGCATCCTTTTAAATTTGTAAAAAAAAAATAATAATAATAATAGCAACCTCTAAAGCATTAAATCAGTGTTTGGTGAACTTGTTTTGATGTAGATCAATGGTTTTGATTCCTTTTTATATTTGGAAGATTCAGCCTCAACCCCAACGGTTTATTTTGGATCACGTTGTACTCTTAACTGTAAGCTGTCTCAGAGGATCTCTGAACTTCTCATTCTAAAGTGTTTGTAGGATTCAAAACTAAATTTTGGAAGCTAGTCAAAAGGCTGTAACACACAGAAGATTTTTAGTCTGGACATTGGCATATTTGTGTGGGAAGAAAAACTCTTGAATTCCTGCCCCAAGGACAGCAAGTGTTATCAAATGGTTGCTTGATGTGAAAATACAGGGAATTTTGAATAGTGATCTGAACAGAGGAGTTCTGCTCCTCAGGCAAAGGTACAAGATTGCTTTTATTACATTTAATTTAACAATTATGTTTAATACCTTTCCCATTACTAGTACTGATCTTCTATGTGTACTGTGTGTTTGCCCAACTAAAGATGTAAACTAAAGTGAAGATAGCTTGTATCACTGTCCAATATGAATATCTAAATTTCCATAAAAAATATATATATTTAATACAGTTACTTTGATCTGGATGCAAAAATGCATTGCCTGATTACCATCTTTAAACATTATGATTCACCTTTCTATTTCATGCTGCCTCTCGCTACTCTCCCTACATTGCCTTTACTGATTACTTACAGAGATTTAGAGAGGAAATGGGATGTTATAGCCTACAATACATATATATATAGTAGAATTTGTGATGGGCATATAATTGTTTCTTTAGATCTTTAGATCATCCCCATGGTCTTTAAGGACGTGCTGAAACCCGGCGTCAAACGGCGCATCCCGGGCGAGGGGCTGCCGTACCCCAAAAACCCCGAGCAGCGCGGCAACCTCATCATCGAGTTCGAGGTCAAATTCCCGGACAGGATCCCTCCCTCCTCCAAAACCATCCTGGAGCAGATCCTGCCCGTGTAGCGGAGCGGCTTTGGGGCTGTGGACTTTTGGGGGAGGTTTGGTTTTGAGATTCTCTTCCTTTTCTTTCTCTTCCTTTTCTTACTCTACAATGTATGGATGTATTTATGTAAGGATGTACTTGCAAAATTATCCTCCTGAATGTGGTTCAAGGATACTGTTAAGGAAGACACTTTTGTTTCAAGCCTTCTGTTTAAGAACTTCGGGGGCGCATTTAATAGAACTGCTTTTTATACTTCTCTATAATTATAGCTATGAGAAACATACGTATTGTCAGGAAAATAGACACTATTTATTCACAGAAAAATTCAGATCAAGAACATTATTGTGGCTCTTTTTGTGAAATCTTGACCTATCTAATGTAACTAATCAGTACTGTGCCAGAGACTCATGTAATCAGGATGCACGAGATATTTGGCACACACCAGTCAAAACTGTAATGGCCTCAATCTTTGGACTGAGAAAACAAGATTAAAATCGGCTGTAGAGCTGTGCCTCCTCCCTGGGAGGCATCTACCAGACTTGATGTCTGTACAACACAGAGGTAGCAAAGTGACCTGCATCTGGCTCACCGTGTCTTGCAGCGCGAGTCTTCTGATGCATACACATGGCTTTCATATCTGCAGTGCCCTCCTTGGCCATCCTGGTGGCATAGTAAAACATGCCTCAAGTTGCACCAGGGGATGGTCAGGTTTAATATTAGTAAAAATTTCTTACAGAGAGGTTTTGAGGCATTGGAACAAACTGCCCAGCCAGGGAAATGATAGACTCATTGTCCCTGGAAGATTCAGGAAACATGTAGGTGTGGTACTTGGGAACGTGGGTTAGTGGGTGTGGTGGGAATGGGTTGATGGTTGGACTAGATGATCTTAGCAAGCTTTTCCAACCACAATGATTCTAGAATTCTATGCAGATGTAAGAAGCTTTTGCACTGTCTTTTTGAAGATATGGTATGCAGGTGAGGTTTCATTCTCACCAAAAAAAGTATGAATTTTAGAGATGCTTTCTGAACATTCTGAACAGCCTAATACTGGTGCAAATTCACTTCAAATTTTGACTGTTTTCTAATTCACGACGTCAAGCTATATTTCAGAAGACTTTTTGTTAGGAATTTGCATGCTTTTGTGTGTGTATGTGTTTTCCTCCTGTATTGATGCTAATGGCAGCTCCAGACAGAGACAACTATCTCCAAAACTCTTCACTTTGCTCAAGGAGAAAGCATGCTTTGTTTTACAAAACTTTATAATATCTCTGCTGTGGCATATTGGATGTTGCTCTGTGCACCTCCAAATCTTTCTTGGTACAAATGTCCTCCTGGAAACACTCAATGAGGAGGGCTCTTTGTTGGTTGTTTTTTTGTTTGTTTGTTTGTTTCTTTTTTGTCTATTCACAAAGTAAAAAAACAAACAAACAAACAAAAACCAACAAACAACAAAAAACAAGCAAAAAACAAAAACAAAAAACAACACCGCCATTTCAAATTTGGACACATTTTATGCTCTTACCTATTTTCACAGAATGAGATGCGTATTTGTGATTAAAGAGAACTCTGATCACCTAAGAATCACATAAAAATAGAACAGATGATGATTTGAGGTATACTTTATTTGATATACCTTAATATTTGGTTGTAAAAGAACAAAAAAATCTTACATTTTTGCTACACAATGCAATATCATGGCTCTGCGCTAAGCATCCTGCCCAGTCTGTGCTGATAATTTCTTAGGAAAAACTCTATCACTTCACAGTGCCTATTGGAAATAGGTGGACATTTGCTTCAGCCAGTACAGCTATTGCTTTGCAAATCCTGGAGTCAGACATGTCCCTGTTTATTACAAGGGAGTTGGACTAGATGACCTTTACAGGTCCTTTCCAACTCAATTCTATTTTTCTATCATTCTATCTGTTCTCTCTTTGTTGCTCTGTCTTATATCTACTCCAAGACTTAGACAAGCATAGAGAGGCCCCAGCTCATGGCTGATATTTCATGTTAACTGTTCCATGCTTCTGCTCTGTTGGGAAGTTCACAAGTGTAGGAAGAAAAAATATTTTGTACCACTGAAGGAGTCTCTTAAGATGGCAAGATAGCATGTAAAGAAAGCTCTTAGACCTATGGAGATTTCCTTGTTCTGATAATGATACTGATCAGATTATAAATACCCTCACTGGAATATCTTGACTGGAATGAAAACAGTGGTAGGAATGTGTCTTTGGAGGAAGGACTGCTCTTCTGTTCTGAATTTGCCTAGTGAGAGGATAGTGTGGTTGGGATTCTGAGTTGTTAGAAATGATGATAAGTAATAAGGAAGGGAAATGCATTCAAGCCTTTGTCTACTGGGAGCATGTAATTCTTAATGACAGAAAAGAGCACAAATTGTAGTCCCACTTTTGCAACTCATAAATTTAAATTCTGCCATGACTGTAGTAAAATTGCAGATGCCAGTTTATATCATTGCACTCATACTATTTATCTCTACATTCCCACTGAGAGAAATCTTCTGTATCGAGATCTTGTTATACTTTTAATTTATTTTTTAACTAGTCACCATTATTTGCTGTTAACAAGGAACCTGGAATCACAGAATCACAGAACAACCTGGGTTGGAAGGGGCCTCAAGGATCATGAATCTCCAACCCCCCTGCTACAGGCAGGGCCACCAACCTCCACATTTAATACTAGACCAGGCTGCCCAGGACCCCATCCAACCTAGCCCTGAACACCTCCAGGGATGGGGTATTCACAACCTATCTGGGCAGCCTGTTCCAGCACCCTACCACCCTTGTAGTAAAGAACTAGTGCATTTTTTATGTTTTATGATGGAAATCATTTACAATGAAACCTATGCTATGGTTGCCCTTGGCCATACCATTTTATTTGTCAGTGGTAACAAAAGATCAGAACTTGTCATGGTGCCTTTCTCTGTGCTGTGCTGGACTGCAAAAAATCAGGCAACTAGCTGAGTCAGTAATTCCATCTCAAACTGGCAGTATGACAAGGTGCCACACCGGAAAGAAGAAAGGAGGCAGTTTTTAAAATGAAAATCAACCCAGCATCTCTGGACTGGCAAACTTGTATATCCCAAATGACAGTATTGGCCTTTATAAAATATGTTGTGAATTGTTTTATGAAATCTGTGATGGAGAAAAACTGGGATATAGAGAAGTTCATAACAAAAGATACATGTGACACATTGACTTTACGTCATTCTTAGCACAGACATTACAGTAGAAAAAAGAACTCTCTAAGAGTTGATCTAGTAAAAATGATATGAAGTTATTTCATCATCATTATTATTATTTATTTCTTGATATGCTTGTTATAATTCAGGTGCTTTCCAAACAGAAAAGCTTCTGGCCCTGCCCCGAGGAGCTCACAATCTAACGGTGGACAAGGGAAGAGATGAGGAGAAGGGGTCCACAGCGCAGTCAAGACGCCAAGATGGAAATCAGCCATAACTTAGTAATCAAATGTGGTGTAAACACAATGTTGCAAAGCAATACAGACCTTTTGTCCCACTTTTCCATTTTGGCTCAGTGAATTCACTCCTAGGCGCATGGCGCATGTGCATGTACAGGAAGGAAGCTCACAATATGTGAGCTCATAGAGAGTAGTATGTGAGTGAAGCAGAGCGGAAAAACTCACGCAAATGTGTATCAATGAAAGGATTTTCAAAACTCAGTTCAGTAAAAGGACAGTTTATGTCCAGACTGGTATGGCTTTAGGTCATATCTTACAAGGTGGTAGTTAACATGCCATGGATTCCATTTGTTTTGTCCTTATTTTCTGCATGTTTTGTGTTCCTAGGAATATAGGATGTAGGTGTGCTGTATGCACCGGCAGGTTTCTTACCACCGGCAAAAATGAACTACAAAATCTATTAAAGTAGGGACAGGGATGTTAAGAATGAAATGACCACAGTGCTGTGGTATTTTTATGTCTCCATGGACAAAGAATGGTGTGGAAGCTCAAAGGTGTTCCTTCTTAGGTCAGTTGTAAATTTAAGTTTTTAATAATGTAGGACACCAGTCACTAATTAAAAAGCAACAGACTGTTTAATTTTAAAAATACCATTTTTGACTTAGACAAGAAGTCACTTATCAATTAAGAAAAATACTATTAGATTTTCTTTATACATTTAAATGTCTAAGTAATTTTATAAAACCTCCAATCAGGTTCCCCCAAACTGTGAAGCTGTCAAAGGAACTTTCGTCAGGTTTTTCTTTAAAAACTTCTCAGCAAACTGCCACATTTTCAAGGTACTCAGGGGATCACTGTTTGCTTGTTTATTCCTGATATATCTTTCTCTCAGCAAATACAAGTGTATCGTGAAGGCAAAAGCTAATAAGCAGCAGAACATTAAAGTGCATAGGTTGTCCACGTTTGGAAAAAGAAATGGTTGAAGAAGCAGTAGCTGTTGTGACTACGGATTCCTGGGAAGTAATCCGCCATTTTTAGCAAGACACAAATATTTCTTTTGCTATAAGATACATTTTTACAGTCTTCAAATCCGGTGTATTTCTAACAGCGGCATCAGGAAGGTAATAAATCTCTTGCTGAGTGGGAGAAGCTGTAATTAAATAATCAAATAGACTGATTGTTCAAAATTTACAGGTATTCATATTCCTTCAATAAATAAAAGAATATACTTTATAGTTTGTTTCTTTACAGATTTTGAAGCAAATCAAGTTCCTAGCAATTTAAATAAATGATTCTAATAGCTTGACATGACATATGTTGACAGGAACCACTTACGATTATTATGTTGCCCAGAATTTTTAAGAACCTACAAAGTTAAATAAAGGCTTACAAGTCTCTGAAGCTACTTTTTATTTGCATAGAAAAATATTTATCGTAGGAGTCAACTATCATATGAGAGAAATTGCTTTTGTTGAAATTGAAAAAGATAGCTAAAAAGTTTCTGTGGGTTATTGCAACAGTACAAGAATACAAGATGCTTCCATTTATTAAAAAATGTAAAACAAATTGTGAAAGCTAAAGCAGGCTACAAAACAGAAGGTCCCTTTATTATCTTTCTCTTGTTTCCTGTGTTACAAGATCATGTGCCACAGTTGAGTACTATAAAGTGTAATTCTGCATTTGCTAATATGTTCTTAAAACATTCCCCCCCAAAAGCACTATGCAAAATATATATATTTGTAAATGCTTCTTCCTGTAAGCATCACAACCTGGTTATCACATAGTCACCCTGCTCAATGGTTTCCTGTTTTCCATCACAGTTAGTGCTAATGTCTGATTCCTTGTCCAGCTGATCCTGTGGTGTGGCTGGCTCTGAGTTCTGTAACTCCATTTTCTCTGTTTCTAAAGCACAAATACTTCCTTCATCCTGTGAATCCAAAGCGTTGCTGTCATTTTGCAACTCAGCTACCATGCACTTTTCATCAGAACTTTGGGTGTTTACTTCACAGTTCATAGTCAGTTCTCCCTCTTCCAGTTCATCATTTTTCTCACATTGTTCTTCTGCCTGTTGACGGGAAACTTCTTCAGAAACAGTGTATATTTTATTTGTACTCTGCTCCGCAGAGTTTGTTTTTGATCGTCTGTGAAATAACCCAAAATTTTTTATGTCTGTCACAAAATTCACACGCTTCTGTTTCTCCTTAATGGACTCTGACACCAACATTGCTGAGCCATTGCTTACGTTATGTGCTTCAGAGGCAATTGTGGCTGATCGTGGGTGAATCATTGTTGTAATATCAAAAAGGCTGAATGCCTTTTTCTTTCCTTTCTTGTTTCCTTCACTCTCATTCTTTTCTTCAGTTTCTGACAGAGAGGCAGCATCTTTATTCATTTTTGGAGTCTGCACATTGGAAAGCTTGCTTCCTTTTAGCAAACCCAGGACTTCAAAACGGAAGCTGGAAATATCTTGTTTTAACTCCTAGAAATGAATAAGAAAGATCAGAGGATTAGTACAGGAAGAAAGATCAGAGTATGAAACCTAATGTGACTTTTCCTCTAATTAATAAACAAAAAATAAATTAAAAAAATAAAAAGCTTATGCTATGGATCAGTTATGAGCTTCGTCATCTGGATAACCTCAGATGTTCAAGTTACATAGCAGACTCTGCTTAATAGATCTTCCAAGTAAGGCAAAAAAAGTGACCAGCAATTTCATCAGGGGAGTCTTCAGAGGAAATGTATCGTGGTTTAGAGATCACTGACAGTGGTGGAGAAAGGATCAAGGACAAATTTATCACCTGCAGCTAATCTGCTGGACTGCATTATCTCAACACTATAATGGCATTTTGATGCCAGATATTAGATAGATCAGATATTATCACCATCCCCAAAACAGAAACACAATAGGCATACAGAATCATGCAACAGTTTAGGGTGGAAGGAACTTCTGTAAATCATCTGGCCCAGCTTCTTCTCAAGCAGGGACACCCAGAGCAGAATGGTCAGAACCATGTCCAGGCAGCTCTGTCACTTATACAGTAGAAAATTTCTTCTTGATGTTTAGACAGAACTTGTTTTCCAGTTTGTGCCCATTGCTTCTTGTGCTGGCAGTAGATACCAGTGACAGAGACAATCTCCCTTCAGGTATTTGTGGACACTGAGATCCCCTCAAGACTCCTCCAGTCTGAGCAGTCCAATCTCTCAGCCTCTCCTAACAAAAGAGATGCAGAAGAAAGTCCTAGAACTGGACACAGCACTCCAGGAATGGCCTCACAAACACTGAATAGAGGAGAAGAACCATCTCTCTTGTCTTGTTGGTCATACTTTGCCTAATGCAGCCAAAATATATATATATACCATTAGCCTTCCTAACAGCAAGAGCACAATGATGACTCGTGTTCCACTTGGTGTACATAAGGACCCCCAGGCCCTTTTCTACAGAGCTGCTTTCCAGCTGTGCAGCCCTAGTGTGTTTCAGTACATGGAGATATTCTTCCCCAGGTGTAGGATTCTGTACTTCTCCTTGTTGAACTCCATGGGGTTCCTATCAGCCCATCTCTCCAGCCTGTCCAGATCCCTCTAGCTGGCTTTCTGGTGAATCAGTCATTCCCTCTAATCCATCCTCTTATCCATGAATTTACCAAGGATGTATCCAGATTGTTAAGGAAGATGTTAAATAGGACTGGACCCAGTATTAGCCCCTAGGGTACTCTGCTCATTACTAGTGTCCAGCTAGCTTTTGCACAACCAACTACCTGCCCTCCTGGTCTGTCTGTTCAGCTGCTTTTAATTCACCACACTGTCTGCTTATTCAGCCTGTAATTCAACAGCTTTTCTATGAGGATCTTATGAGTGATATATACGTGCAAGCTTCTCTGTGAGTGGAATGCAAGAACTGCAGGCAGGACTTTGTGCATTTCTCCTCGATGTTGGGTAGCTGGCAGCCAAGAAAAGAGCTAATCACTGCAGGATGCTTCTTGCCAGTACAACTTCTGATCTCTGTCCCTTAAAGGCCTATCTTAGGAAAAGACATTTTCTTTTCATTTTCTATATGAGAATATGAGAGCAACTAGCTCAGGCTCTTTCTTTATCTTCTGTGTGCCAAAGTTGAGGCCGATGAATATCATTTTGGAAATTTGAAGGTTGAGGCACTAACAGTAACAAAATATTTAATGCCAAAAATACACAGTTATGTAAAAGTTGTGGTGCATATGGCCCCATTCACTTAGTCTTGTCAGATTAAACAGATTTTAATATTTGACTCCTTATTTAAGTGTTCAATTTATTAAGCCGTACAAAATGTGTTCTGATACAAAAGTGCAAGTGCACTCAACTGCACATAATCTGTATTTCCTACAGTGGAACTATTTGCATGTTATATTACCAAATACTATTTTACATACCGTTAGTCCCACTTTGGTGTGCCCTTAGTTCTTCCCTCTCTTCACCCCGTAACTCAAACTAGATGATAAAAGTGATTATTTTCCAGCAAGCAAGGGTTGTTGCAGTAGTCTATAGCAATACTATTTGATTGTGGTCCATCAGCACACAGACACTGCTCTATGGAGGAAGATATGTGCAATTGTACAGGTGGGGACTGTGAAAAATGTGCTTCACAGTCTTCTAAAATATCTATGAACATACAATTAAATACATACCTTAAAATTTTCTTCTGTCAGCCCTTCCTCAGTTTTGGCATCTCTAATCATTGCTGCAACGTACCTCTTAACCAGATTTCTCATAACCTCCTAAAAACATAAAACATTGTGTTAGTTTTCTGGCTCATAGTTACTAAATCTATGCTTACTAGGTCTGCTCAACTTTTTGTGCTTTAGGAACATGACAAAAAATGTACAGACCTCAGATACAGGTTTTTTTTTGTTTGTTTTGTTTTTTTTTTTCCCTCTGTTTTTCAACAGTGATATTAAATATCCTAAGAATGGCTGCACAGGGTTTGACCAACTGCATACCTCATGCTGGTAACTTGCTCTCTTACAGTGAGCAGTTGCTGATACTTAATGAGGAGTGCAAGTGGAGTACAGTCATGTAATGTTATTTCCAGCTGTATTCTTTCAAGCCTTCTGCAGTCTGAGATTCAGGAACCTTGTGAATCAGAAATGTTAGCCTTAGGTTTAATGGCCTGCAACAGGTTTTCCCTATGTGTTTTGAACTCATGTAAACTTTCAGCATCCACAAATTTGCTGATGAATTTCAAGGCAAAGCCACAGTGAAACTCCTTGTTTTTAAATTTCCTTTTTTAATAATCTGTTCTCTGATAGTTCCCAGCATTTCCCTCTACTTCTAAGAATTCTAAAATTGTTTAATTTGGAAGAAATGTCTGGAGGAGCCCAATCCATACCCCTGACTCCAAGTAGAGCTATCACTGCAGTTGTACAAGGCTGCTTAGGTCCAGTCAAGTGCTGAATATCTCCCAGGATGGAGATGCTGCAGCCTCCCTGTACTGCTTTTTTTTCAGTTCTTTACTACCCTCAATGTGACAGTGATTTTCCTTACAGAATTTCCCTTCTGGAAACTTGAGTCCATTGACTCCTGTTCTTTTTCTGTGCACATCCAAGAAAAATCTGGCTCCCTTCTCTCTCTAACCACCCACTGTGTTATTGGAGATAGCAATTAGATCCCCCTTAACCTACTTCATGCTGAACAAACACAGATCTCAGCTTCTCCTTTTATGTCAGCCCTCTAACCATCTTGGTGGCCCTTTGCTGGATTCCTTCCAGTTTGAAACATCTCTCTTGTAGCAGGGGGCCCCAAACAGGACACACTGCCTCAGATACAATTGTACAAGAGTGGGCTGGAGGAGAATAACCAATTCCTTCAGTGTGCTGCCTACTGCCTTGTTAATGCAGCCTATTACATGTCTGATGTCCAGTCTGTGGATAGACGGTAAATAGCTGCTGTGTATTCACCTTCTATATAATTTTAAAGACTCCAGTTGTACCCTCCACAGCTGTCATTTCTTCTGGTTGGAAAGTCCTGATTTATAGTTATTTTCCATATGGAATCCATTCATTTCCAATTTTTCAAGTGTGCAACTCACATCTTGGTGGATATGCACCCCATTAACACAACAAAAAATGGAAAATAGATCTGAAATTATCCATTATGCTACAATAATCTCCCAAAATCAAGAGACAGAAGCAAGAAGGATGGCGAAGAGCAGTTGGCAGGAGTCAATCAATCCCTCTAGGCAGAGGTATTATTAAGGAGCTCTCGGTAGGTGAGCAGAACTGGAGAGGGAGAGATGTAGAGCTGACTGATAGAGCACGACAGGTAGATACATGTATGTTCTCAATTGATCCCAGCAGGGAGGTGGGAGTGTCCATGTCTTTTTTAAAGGCAATCCATGTTGAAGTGGATTAAATGTTAGTTAGTCTAGAATTTCTTTAGGAAACTATCCTTTTTACACCCACAAGTAGACTACTTTTCTAATGCTGTTATTTCAACAACAAATATTCTACACTCTTTTGCTGAAAATGAAATAAACACGGATTTTCTTTCTTTCTTTTTTCTTTTATTCTACTTTCTTCAGAAATCTTCCCCTTCTATTCCATCTCTCCTCTCCCAACAGGACCTTTTGGAGGCACAAGCAAAAAAAAAAAAAAAAAATTGCCAAAAAAATAAATGTGCAGCTTTACCTGGTATTGATGATGTCTTCTCAGATTGTCAGCTGCACGTCTCTGAAAAAAGAAAAGAATGGAATACAACAAAAATCATGAATGTCTGCCTGGTAGTAAAATACAGCACAGTAAAACAGCAACTCCACGCAATCTATGGTAACTAACAAGCTGGAAGACATTGTTCAGTATCCTTTGAAAAAGTGGCAATGTTGGACTGAAGGCTGTCATTAGCTTTACAGAAGGGAGTATGCTGTCACTAAAAAAGCTAAGTGGATTTACTACATTTCCATCAATGTGCTGCTATTCTGGCATTGATGTGAGTGTGGTGTGGCAGCCGGTTATCTGCTTGCAGATGACTTTCAAAGTCATAAATCTGATATAGAAGAACAGTGTGATTGTGTAACACACTTGCACAGACAGCAGGAATTGAGAAGAGCTTGGCATACAAGTGGTGGTATCTGTGGCTGTCTCCTTATTTCTCATTTAAGACAGAGCTATCCAAAGCCTACAATATAAAACCATTTAAAAGAGAAAATTCCCTGCTTATTTCTTTGTTAAAAGGACTCTTGATAGATGCAGAAGCACAGAAAACAGCAGCTCAGCTGTGAGATACAGAGTTTGTTGTTGATAAGGAAGGAGAGTAAGAAGTGTAGTGACTATGATCAGGAACAGCAAAAAGAAGATTGGCAGGATGAAAGTAAAGCAAAGGCTTCAAGAAAATGTTGCATTTGCATATACTGCTGTATCTATGAGATGTCCAGAAAAAGGTGGTGGAAAAAAAAAAAAAAAAAAGCCTTGAATTATTTAGTCCTTGAATTACTGTTGTCCTCAACATACTGAGTCACATCTCTCTTTATTCTCCACCTTAATTATCCCTGACTGGTGAAAGAGGGTTTTGTCTTTTTCACTTGGATTCTTCTATCTGCGGCTGATTAGAAAAGTACGAGTCTGACCACTGGTTGTATTTCTACAAAATAGAACACTTAGAATGTCTTAAAACAGGATAGAACGATATTCAAGAGACTCATTAAAATTAATCTCCGTTGCATAAGCCAAGTACAATAAGGTATTTTGTCACCTTTTTTTGCTTGCAACTGATTAGTAATTTATTTATGATTACCACTTTCCCATTTTTGGGAACATGTTTCTGCTTTATGGTTGATTTTGTTTTGTAATTAACTTGAGGGTTGCAGTACCTGCGTGCTCAGCAAAAGAAAATAAAAAGGGAAAAATCACAATTTACTAATTGTTCTGTACATTTACCACGAGATAGGGCTTTATTCATAGATACCTTGCCTTCAAGATTTTTCCAAATGATCATAAAATCATAGAATGGCCTGGGTTTAAAAGCACCACAATGATCATCTAGTTTCAACCCCCCTGCTATGTGCAGGGTCGCCAACCACCAGACCAGGCTGCCCAGAGCCACATCCAGCCTGGCCTTGAATGCCTCCAGGGATGGAGCATCCACAACCTCCTTGGGCAATCTGAAGTGATGTTTCTGCATCTTATGTCATGTTCATAGACGAGATGGAAATTCCTCATATGAGTGTTTACAGAAGGAGAGGTGGGAATTCCTGTCCACCATCATGGCTGAAGGGACAGTGTAGCCATGTGAAGGACAATACCCTCCCACCATCTACACCACTATCCAGGATTATTTTTCTGGCTTTTCTCTGCCGACCACACGATGGAGATATTTCACTCCTGCTGAGAGAGCGCCAGGGGAGTCTGAGGCATTATGAGAATTCTCAATAAAAGCTCTGACTCACAGGCAGAAGGAAAATCACTTTAAGGTGTATATGAAACACACTTAATTTCAGGTGAAGCTAGTAACTCCTATAAATAAAACAAATGCTAGCTCTTTTCTTGTAAACTGCTTTCTGCAGTTGCTGTGTTCTCTGCTTTGTTTTACAGTGAAGTGTGAAATAAAGGCATAGGTTTAACTCTGTACCTGTAGCAAGAAATACTTCAATCTGATTTATCCTTTTTAAAAAACAATTCTGAAACTCCCAGAAACAAAGGCTATAGCTTTTCTAGTCTATGCCATGACAAAAAGTGCGATTTGAAATGAGTATACAAACAGATATATTTAAGTAATAATATGTCCAGAACAGTTGTACTCTCCCTAACAATAATTTTCAATCAATAACTCTGAGAAGCTGCAAGAGAATACAATTAATGATGCATTTGTACATACACACTGCAAAGGTAAATATGCAGACACATAGCCTATCCAAGTTATTAACGCCATCAGTTCTCTAACTGCAGTTTACATGTTCAGATTCTGATTCAGATTCAGTTCATAATCTTCTTTTGCATCCTTCTCAAAGTGCAATGAAACTTAAACACATCTGAAGATCAAGACACTTCACATAAAATGACAATAGCAATTATCTCTTCCTTAGTTGGTTTTCAGCCAGCTTTTTGCTACTTGTTGTTCAAAATTTGTTTCAAGTAATTGCTGCGCTATGTGCATGAAGTACTGGAAACTGTGACTGACAAAGGAATAAAAATTAAATCTGACTGAAAAATAGCAACACAGGAGGAAACAGTCTTGTGATGTCAGTATTGTACGAGACTGTGTTACTGCAGTATTTCATCACTTTCCAGTGGGTGGCACCAATACACTGTAGGAAGTCTTAGCAGTTTTAGTGGCACTGAAAACTATTTTGGTCATCCTGTTTGTGCCATTCTGAGTAATTTGTATTTTTTTGGAAGAAAAATATCTCTAGCAATCAAAAAATGCCACGGTTTATATTACTTCTTTGGGAGCTATTTATCAAAAATATATTTTTTACAAAGTATGAATTCAAATTCCTTTGACCTCATTTCTTTCTGACAAATGCCCAAATAATCTGATGAATTTATGATGGCATATATTCCCATATTTGGAATGGAAGCATGATATGACAGGGACAAGAACTTGTCTGTGTTGACAGAAAGGTTTTCCTGTGAGATGGTCCTTGATTATACAACAAACATGCTCCAGATTATTGACTTCCATTCCATGTGGAAGGTGCTATTTCTTCTCTTAGTTTTCAGCAACAAACATTTCAGGGAAAGTACAAAACAGTGTATTGACTCAGAATTTGCATCATTTCCATTTGGAGAAAGAAAGCTAAGAGAATAAGAAAGATTTTCTCTGACAAATACTAATCATTATCATGTGGATTGCTTGAAAAAGTAGCTAGGAAAAAAAAAAAGCTATTTATCTAAACATCAGGTACACAAAAAACACTAAAGATATGCTTGGTAAATCCTTTCCATTATATCCTCTGGAATACTTAAAATTATAGATAAAGCACTTTTTGGTGACTGACCAGGAACAAATTGGAATGGAATTCGAGGAAAATAACACAATTACTTCAGTATATTCTTGGGGATTCTTTACTTACATCTCTTCTATTCTAAAATAACAATAGATTTCAGATGATTAACAAGAGTAGCCTTGAGACACCTAAAGCCCATAGGAAGTCAGGAGTACTTCAGCCTGATCAATAGAACTGCATTACTAAACTGGCTCTTGCTAAGGTGAGCTGACAAAGTTAACAGAAATACTTTAAATAGCTTAAAGGGAGGCACACATTGTTATTTCAGAGTTTTAAGTGCAGGAGATACTTTGTGATAATAGCCGAAGAGAATGCTGCATACCTGGGATATGTCAAAATGACAGAAAATAACGATGTGCTGTAATCTGAAAAGGTAGATCTCTGATTAACAATGGTGATGAAGTGCAAGTAAACAACATGTGAACATACCGGCCTTCCTGTACCAAAGAAGCCAGCTGTAGTTGTCATTAAAATCTGCCACCAGCATGGTTGGACAGCCTTTGAGAAAGGCGATGTCCCATGGAAAAGCTTCCTTGACCCCATCACCCACCTCTTCAGCAGCTTAGTATGACAAAGGATTCCAGAAACACAGGACAGTCAAAGAGAATCAAATTAATCATCTCTCTTCAGAAGCTCCTCGCTTCCTTGCAGACTCTCTTCTTTCATGTAATATCTCTGTTGTAACAAGCGCTGTAAACGGTCCTCCCAAGCAATCATGCCATTGTTATCTAGTTATCATAATTATCAGATTATTTCAGGTTTGACATTAGGAAAATTTTATTCTCTGAAAGAGTGGAGAGGCACTGTAATGGGCTGCCCAGGGAGACGGCTGAGTCACTGTCCCTGGAGGTGTCCAAGAAATGTTTATGTGTTGTAATGAGGGACATGATTTAGTGGGGAAATACTGGTGGTAGGTGGACAGTTGGACTGGATGATCTTGGAGGTCTTTTCCAATTTTGGTGATTCTGTGATTCAGTGATTCGATCTCCACTGACATTTTTCTTTCTTTGTATGAGTCACATCAATCTTTTCTTTGTGTACCTGCTGTAAATTCTCCTGAACCTGAATCCTTTCTCTATGAGTTCTACTTGTGTATAATCTTTTTAATTTTTTTATATATAAATCATACATTATGTATATAATCCAAAATAAATCTATATGTATGTATTCTTTCTATATTCTTATACATATATATCTGTAGATACATACACACACAGAGTGGGTTGCTGGTTACACGTTTATACATCCTCGGTTCACTCCTGATTCATGACTCCTGGCTTTTTGGTGCCGTTTCTTTAATGCATTATTTTATATCCAGTTCTTGAAAACTGACAAGACAAGCTTAACAAGACAGCTATACTCTGTCAGTAATTTGTTATGCACTCTCTAGCACTAACTCAGCCTTTGGATTCCCATTACTGTTATTCCTACTGGCAAACACTGCAGTATATCACTGCTTTCTAATAGCAAACATTATTTAGAGGCTTCAGAAAAAAAATGTTTTGAAATCAGAGTTCCACGTCACAGACAATCTAGTATCCATCTAGCTGACCTAAGAAAATGAGCCTTACAGGAGTCTATAGGGTTTTTTTTCCCACTATCAGTCATAGGAAAGGTATCAGAGATCAGAGATACAGGGCTCATGTGAAGACAAGTAAGTCCCAGCAAAGCTTATCTTGTAGATCTGAGGCTGAGATTCCAGTGAGCTGAAGTCAGAGAGCTGTCACTTAAGCTCAGACAAAAGCCCCAGATAACTTTTCACTTCCATTTGTTTGTAAGGGCACAGTGTTTCTAAATTTAATCGGCGATGGTGTTCACTGGGATAACTGGAAAAATTCTGGGAACCCAAGGCTGAGCTGTGGGTGATGTGAACAAGTTTTTCACTATCTGAAAACAGCACATTCCTCCAGGACAAACTCTGAGCTCATGATGGTGTGCCCATGTTTTTCCTCCAATGATTTAACCTCTTTATTGGGAAAATTCACTTAACTCAATTGTGTCTGCAATACTATTTATCTGAACTGTGTGTAGACCTGAGTGAACAGTGGCTGTCATGCTCTAGTATCTACAGACAGATTTTCCCTATGCAGAAATCATAGGGCATAGTGCAAACTCAATTTTTAGTTCACTTTGGAGCTTGAATGTATAAGTGGGCTTAAAAAATGCAAAATGTTCCTAAATCAGACAGCCATGTTGGGACTCCTGTTATACCTGAGGAGCTAACTGAAGAATATTGTAGTTTTATGAGATACTCTGAATCTGTCTGGTTAACCAAGGCCACTCACTTCCAGGCAGCAGGAATTCTGGTTTATTGGTGGCTCAGCTGGTGAAAACTCTTTCAGAAGGGTTTCAGATACACTTGCAGCTAAGTGCCTATTTCTGTAGTAGAAAACTGTAGAAAACAGGTGATGGATATAGCACTGTTGTCTCATAGAGCTTCATGATTTCCACTTTTGCTCCTCAAACAATGTGTTTTTTTTTTTTTCTGTTTGTTTATAGAAAAGAAAAAAGAAAAACCACACACACAAAAAATCCTTATATCTCTCCCTCCTCCATCTCCTCTGCTTTCAGTTAGTTCAGTTATTAGCTGTCCAAATCCTAATCATAGGGAAAACCAGGTTCACCTCCTTCTCTTCTTTTTTCCCAAGGGACCACCTTTTCCTCCAGGGTATTCGCTACTTTGGGATGGGAATTGTCTCCTATCAGTGCTGTTCTGCTTGGCAAAAATAGTTGAATACACACTGGAGAATGGAAGTGAATTTGGGTCTCCCATAGCCCAAGCTATTTGCTATTCTTACCATGCGCTCCAATCAGAAATTCTGTCCTGAAGCTGAAAAGTCTTTCCCAGCAAAAGATTCTTTGAAGCTGGTATACATTCATTAAAAAAAATTTAAAAATTAAAAAATCCGTGGTTTTAAATGCGGAATAATTCCCAATCAGCTTAGTATATACACTCCTTATTCACTGACCCTTTGCTGCAGCAGTTTTCCAAAACCTAAGCTGCTCTGTCCAGCAGTTGTTATTTAGGTACCCCAGCAGGAGGCAGTTACTGGAACCTGGTGGTCTGTCTGAACCCCCCAATCTCACCATGTAGGGTTGAAAGCACCCTGCCTCTTTCTTCCTCCTTCTAGACAGCCAGGAATGAATTTACTTCCAGAGCTGCAAGTTGAGAGGGAAACAAAGGAAAAAGAATCCTGGATGGAAAGTCTGACAGAGAATATTGTCCTGAAGGCTTTGATGGGATGGATAAGATATTCTGGATCTGTCCCAGTCAGTCAGGGGTATTGTGATAACCAACTGTAGATCCTCAGCTGCTATGAACTGGCATTTCTCCACTGATTTAATATCACTCTATCAGTTTACACTAGCTAATCATCCCTATTGAATGCTTAACAAATGCCTAGAAGCGTTGCCCACTCTCCCCCTACACAAGTACAACAATCTCTCTATTTCTAACAAAAAAATCACACATTTTCCTCAACTTTAAACTTCTTTTCTTTGCTTACTTACACAAAGATGCTCTATTCTCATTTTATCACCATTCATTCTCAATTGTCTTTTATTTTTATTTCTATCTGAATCACTACTTATTTTTCTACGCTGCTTTTCTAATAATAATATGAAGGATTTTTTTTTTAGTGCTTCTTTCTTACAGTCTGCTGTTAGTTTGTTTCAATATCATACTCATGCTTACAAGCTTCTTTTTCTGGCTCTTACATATCTACGAGCACAACAGTGAAGCAAAGCACACTTCCTTTTCAGAATGCCAGCAAGATCATGATATTGCAATAAGCCTGATTAGAAGCTTTTCACAAAGAGTACAAAGAGAATCTATTCATCAGTTTAGGAAATGTGATTTAGTTTTATGAGTTGTACTGCCTCCTTATCATGCATCTGTGCATCTCTATGAACTTGTTCCGCGAGGTGTACCTGGTGATAAAACTGAATGCCAGGATATAACAGAAGAATAAACAGGAAAAAAAAATAGGCTTAGTACTCACTTTGTCAAGGAACTAGACACAGAGCCACAGAAAGAAAAAAAAAGAAGTTTGTAGAGTAATGGTCCAGCAAATAATTGAACCACATTCTTGGCTTCTTTGGTATACTGCAACCAGGGTTAATAGCATGAGGACTACAGTCCTGTCTTCTTCATCTTACATGACACTCATATACTCTCACTTGATGCTTTGCTACTTGAGCTCCTTACAGTAAAAACACTTAAACACACCACGTACTTATAATGAAAAAGCCATCATCCACGTTTGACTCACAATAGATTAATTTGTTTATTTATTTATGCTAGCATTGCCTTACTGAGGACTAGTTAATCATGCAACTGATTTTTTTATTCAACATGCAGAAAATATTCCTAGAGAGATTTATTTGCTTATGGATCAGATTGTTGCCTGAAAATTGAGCTGCTGACTGAAAGGTCTCAAGTGGACACCTGAAGTTAGGAGAGAATTCAAATTTAATTTATCCATTACGTCTACCAGAGAAAGACTGTGATTGAGATATTACACAGTATCTACTGAATCCAAATGCAGAACTGTTGTGGTTTAACCCAGCAGACAGCTCAGCATCACACAGACAGCCATTCACTCACTCCCTGCTCCCAGTGAGATGAGAATCAGAAAAAAAATAAATAAAAAGTAAAACTCATGGATTGAAATACAAACCATTTACCAGGAAAAAAAGAGGAAAAATAATAGTGATTATAATTATCTTTATATGTACAGAATGCATTTCCAAACAAATGGTTCACAATGGAATTTCTTGCTACCTGCTGACCAATGCCCAACCAGCCCTCAAGTAGCAGCTCCCCAGCCAGCTCCCCCAGTTTTATTGTTCAGCATCATCACCACGTCATATGGTATGGAATATCCCTGTGGCCAGTTTAGATCAGCTGTCCTGGCTTTGTTCCCCACCAGCCTCATGTGCCCCCCAAGCCTGGGCAGCACTGCAGCCCTGCACTGTCACAGCAGCACCATAAGCCTAAATGTCTTTGGCTCTATAAGCACTGCTTTTCAACAACTGAAGCAGAGGTGTATTATAGACATTATTTTTCTCCTAAAGCCAAGACACAACAAATCACTATGAAGGAAATTAACTCTATCCTAGCTGAAACCTTTGTGCATCTTTCTCCATTTTTTTTTTTTTTTTTTTAACTTTTTTCCCTGTAGACATTTCTACTTCTAATGAGTGCTAATAGAACAGGATAGTAATGTGATCCTGAAATAACTTGTAAATTCAAGTAAGCAATTCCAAGTAAGTGGCTACGTTTCAAAATGTTTTCTTTAATGGAAACAGCTGTTGGTAAGAATGCTTTTATGGAAAACTCATTTCAATACACGTAGAGAGACAAGGAGATACAAAGAATATGCCATGGTAGTTTATACACAGTTCTGTGGTTTATGATATGTCAGTGGTACTTGCATCGTGATACTTGGAGCATCATCTAGAACTCTGAGAGTGATAGACAGATGTTCCTTGATGTCTGTATTGCTTTTAATCTTTCTTGCACTGTCTTTAGATGAAGCATCATCATGGTTCATACTGCTGTGCAGAAATCCAATGATGCTTTCTCTTTAGTCAAATACATTGACTTGAATATTAAAAAAAAAATAGCACCATTATTCTCTGCGAGAATTATTATGTAATTCCTATCCACAGTACTTGACATTTTAGTGGCCTCTATTCTCTGACAAGGCTGAGAAATACTTTACTGTATAGAAAAGAGGAGGACTAAAAGCTGAGTAGTACATAAGACTTACCCCTATTGTTCCAAAACTTTCAGGTTTTCTTCTAATTTTTTTCTTGCACAGGTGTCTCCATAACCACCTAATCAGATACCAGAGGGACTTAGGGCTTGGAATGACATTGAAAGGAGTGGGCAGAGTCCCTCCCTCTTCAAAGTAACTCATCCAGAGTTTTGTCCGAGCAAACTTCCACTCGATGTCTGCATGATCCTGTGCAGAAGAAACACAACAGAAGCACACATGGTGCTGTAACAAAGAAGGCGAAACAAACCTCTGGGAAAGCTGAACCTAAAGTTAGAACAATCCCAGAACTAATGAATTTTCTTGTCCCTTCTTCAAAGAAGGTCATTAACACAAAGAAAACTTAAGCTGATTTACTCCAGTAAAGAGATATTTGATGCATACAGTATATGCTTTCAATCTTTCTTGCTTAGCTACAGGCTTTTACATAATTAACAATCACTCAAACAAGAAAGGATAATTACAAGCAAAAAAAAATGCTACATTTCTGATAGAGATGTTTGGTTACAATAGCAGCTCATCGTTATTCCACACAGATCATTCTAATTTCTCTGTTGTGTAGCAGCTTCAACAAGTCTGCAAACCTCATACACTCTCAGCTTCCAGCCTCAGAAATTCATAAATAGTTTATCCACAAATGATGAGGCTGCTTCAGTCTGTTGAGTTTTATATCCTTCTCTTTCTCCTACTTCAAAATTAAATATTTGGAATTGGTTGTTGATGTTTTGATTTTTAGTTTGAAATTTTATTTCTTTTGGATATTATATAATATTGTATAATTTTTAAAAAATAATCAAAACCCAGGGCTTGAAAAAGTTGCAAGATCTTAGCAGCAGAACAAGAAATGTAAAGTAATAAGGTTTGATTTGGACAACAGACACAGAGACCAAGAACTTCAACCACTGATAAAACCTAAACTTTAATATTTAGCCATATATACTTTTACAATCAAAACAGTTATTAAGACATTCCTGGAGAAAAGTATTCTGCCTTCAATATGTGTTTTTGTGAATGTTAGTATGCCATGGTGTTGTGCATAACTATATACTAACTCTATAACTACTACAACAACTGTTAAACACACGTAGTCATTTCTTTTGTGGACAACTTCAGGAAAAAAAATAACAAAAACCAAATGTTTAAAAGTCTTAAGAATGTGAGGCTTTCTTCTATTTGCTTGCTTTCTGCATTACTATATTTGAATTATCATACTATGAATTTCATTAGTCTCATTAATAGTCAGCTGAGAACTAAAAATAACTCTGATAACAATAAACACAGTTTTCATGAAATGAGAAAAAATACACTGCTTGATGAAGAGTCCTGACCTTTTGTTTCACTTGTTAATGAGTCCAAAATTGTATGTGAAATTCAAGCAATTAATTTCTACTCACTGTTTATTTATGTTGTACAAGAATCCAACAATAAAAATGTTATAAAGGTTAATCAACATGTGAAATATAAAGTAGGGATTGCACGATCTGTGACAGAGTCTCTTTCTTGAGACAAGAGCTGCACAGTGTAGTTCAGGCAGTGCTGAAGCCTGCACCATTTGCTGGCACCTCCAAGGCACCCTTCTCTACCCACTAGTTGGCTTCTGGAGTAGAGTCACCTCTTTCCCATTCTGAGTTTTGGGAAAATTCACCCCTGTTCCAGTCCAGCTGTGGTCTAATTTCTGTGCCCTTCCTCAAAAGCACAAAATAATTGGAACAAATCTATATTCTATACTTAAAATAGATTTACTGCCAGAAAAAAAAAAAAAAATGGGTTGCAGGAACAGAAAGACAGTATATGTTATAATAAACAACTTACAGCAATCAGCTGGTAAGAATTATTCATCATGGCTATTAGCATGTTGAGTAGAACAACCAGAGAGATTACATTATAGGTACCAAACATAGTGGCTCCAACAAATTCAGTAAATTCATGCTTTGGTTGCACATTGGTCACATATAGATTGATGAGTCCAAATATAGACCAGAATAATGACTGCAGCGTTTCAAATAATCTGAAAGACAAAGCCCAAGAGGAAAAGCTGTTTAATACTAACACATATACTTTTCAGATAAGTTTTTTCCCAAGACACACAAAGTCCTTCACTTGATTAAAGTAGATGGTGCTCATTACAATAAAGGCAACATATATAGAATACTGTTCTGGAGAAAAATTACCTAAATGTTTCAGATCTGAACCTATAGATATCCGAAACAGGAATAAAATAATAAGCCTGTATGTACAAGATTGTTCAAACCTCCAAAGGGTATATTTTAGAGATATTATTTTGGACATCTGTCTTTGAAGAATTTTGTCTCTGTGCCTTGAATTTAGAGGATAGAACACGGATCCAAAATGAACTCACTGATTGTGTTTCAGCAACATGGTAAAGTAATTATGGTATGCTTGTATTTGTTTGATGATATCAATTTATGCCATTTTTACTTGTTGAGAGCCACTGAGACAAAAAGTGAAGAACAGTTACAAGGGCATTTGTATCTTTAGCATCCATTTGTGTTTTTTTTTTTTAAAGAATACAGACATTAAAAAGACAAACACACCACTCTCAAATTACACGTGCTTTTGCAACTAATTGACATGATAGTTGGAGAAGTTTAGGGCAGCAGATAGGAAGCTAAATGACAATATCGAATAATATTGTTTCCTCCTATGATCAGCTCTGAAAACCTCCCCCGTGTTTTTCTATTCAAACAGCATACCTGTGTCGACTCAAAAGTTGGAGTTTAGACCTGCATGAGATGTTATTAATATGCAAGATTATAAATATGCTGTGCCTGAGCAGTTACTTGATTAAGATGAAATAAAAAGTGTTATTTAAAACATATACATTTGAGAAGGATGCCTCTGATATTAAACATTTTTAAAAGCAGCCTACATATGATTAGTAGAAGATAACAGGGAATTTTTTATTGTAGAGGTTCAGTCTAGATGGGAAATGAGATGGAGAGTATTCATTTGATAGTGTTTAGGTGCTATGAATGAATTAAAGAACAGTGAGAAGTAAAATCGATTTTTAAGTGAAAGAAAACGTTAAAAAATTGTAAAATAGAATACAAATTTGAATGTGTAGAATGGACTCTGTGTCTGTGGAAGTCTGGAATGGAATGATTTTTTTTCCTTCCTGAGTTTATCACAATTACAAGGAATCTTTGTGTTTTACAACTCCGGACTTATATCCACAAGTAGATATAGAAAAATTACAGAGCAACAGCTGCCTAGATAAGAAAACTCTGACCTGGTGATCTTTTATCCCTTAATTCTAAATATGTACTTTCTAATCTCACATTATCTTCCCCTTCTTTTTATTTTATCTTTTACCATATCTTTGGTTATATAGATTTCGCTGCAGCATAGGATGAACATTATTATACACTGATGTGATGTTAAATGGATTTATTTTTTATTAAGGTAACTTTAGGAGTGTCTGTCAGTATTCCACTGACCAAAAAGATACCAGAAGAGAACAAAAAGACAGCCTCTTTCTTGTAAGCAACATTTAAGTGAGTAAAATGTTGGGGTGAGGGTAGAAATAGATCAGTCACTTACGTTGAAAATGCATTATTCTGCTCTGCACATCGTATCCCTTTGCACTTGGTTTCTTGCGTCTCGTAGTAGAAGTACAGCTGGTTCAATCCATTTGCAAATGCTAGCAGCACAAGGCAGTATATGAAGAGAAATTTCAAAATGTCCAGCAGCATTCTTCCTAGAGATATCTGCAGAGGTCCCAGGTGAGAATTTGCAGTGAATAACGAGATCAAGCGTAAGGAGCTAAAGATGTTTGCAATTGCAAACAGTGCCTCAGCCACCAGTGTTGGATGCCACATGTCCCAGCTCTGTCGTGGAACCAACCCGCTATACTGAAAACAAGCAGAAGGGAAAAGAAAAATTACTCTTCTGTTTATATGAACAAACAACTGTCTGTTTCTTTATGAGCCAACCCATTAATTTGCTGAGAGTACAATGAAAATAAATGTATTTTGGAAGGAGTTATGTTTGTTTGAATGCTTTTTATCTCAGCAAAAACAAAAATGGATGGTCTCTGAGTACTCATTCTACATTTTCATCTTTGGGACACACTAAACTTTGTTGTTTTTTACTGCACTTTGCATATGATTATGACTTTTACAGAAGCAAAATAATTTCTAATAATTCTGATGAAGTAATAATAACAATTATGCATGAAATTCACAAAAATTTTGAAAAAGTTGGAATAAAATATTTGACTAAGGAATAAATACGTTGCTTAATCACTGACATTTACAAATGATGGGAAAGTGGTTTATCAATGAACCATGGCAAACTGCTTGTGTATCTCATTATCAAAGAGTCTGATCCTGGGAAATGCAATTCTTCAGCATTTCCAAGGATCCAGCTCTACCAAAACATTTACTGAAGATGTTACTTTCAGCTAATGCTTGACTACTGTGGCAAACTCATTATTTATTGGGTCTCATTAGTCTTCTTTACAAGATGTATCAGAGGACAGAATCTAAGCTACGAAGCCCTCTAAAACTATATGATAGTATAATGAGAAGCAGATATAAAGACAGACTACGATGCAGTCTGTATATATCTACTCTGGACCACCCAGACACATCCTTCAGAGATATTCAGCATGTCTTCAGTGGTAAGGAAAGGGACACTTCCTGTCAGCTGTGGCCAGATAGCCATATGTATGGCCATATGTCACATTTCCACTCCATGTTCAGCATCCACAGAACAGGACTGCTCTTGATGTAAGTGTTTTCCGTGGCAGTGTTTGTTGGGGCAGGATCCTATTACCATGCTGGAATTGCTTTTTTCAGCTGGTAGGGCAGCAGAGGCCTTACCTGTGCCCAAAAACAATCCCTTGTTTCACAATGCAAGGAGTTAAAAAAATGTCAGCTTCTGCAGAATCGGTGGCATAAGTATCTCACTTGCTACTAAGCAGAGTGTATCTGACATGGTGATCATGAAGATAATAAATGTAGACATAAAAATGCATTTTCAATTACTTTTCAGAGCTTTTGCCTTGAACAAGAATATGGTTTCCTACTAGATTTTTGTGTTGGAGACTGAGACTCATATAATCAATAACATGAATTTGCATGCATTCTCTAGCAGAGCTGGGAATGGACAACACTTGGTCCAGTGCTCAGATTTAGAAAATATTGAAGATAAATCAAACAGGTTTCACACATGAATTGGCATTGTACATCATTTCATATACTATTACAAAATAAATACTCTTCCAAAAACACAAAAGCAACCGTTTTGCTTAGAGGACAAACTCTTCTGTTCATATTTATAAGCCTCAATCATATCAGATGTGATGCTTAAAATTAGTCATCCTGTACTCCTGTAAAATGTAAGAACTTCATTTTTTATTGTATTAATCATACCGTTATTTATCAGGGAGAGAGCATTTTCAGTGGGTATAACAGTTTAAAGACCTCACACACTGATACACAATTAGAGGCAAAGAGCATAGCCTTTTGAAAAATATGAGATGTACTCATCATTTTTTTTTTCTGAATACTGAAAATGAAGCAGATAACTGATCTGTCTTAGCAGTTTGCTCATCCTGTGCACTCTTTGGTGAATTTTCAACAGTCTTTTGTGAATTTTACACTATACAGATATCAGCTGTTGTAAATAATAACTGTCCACTTAATCAGTACATCACTCAGAGAGCCTCAAATAGGCTCAAAACAGTAAGTTTTACTCTAAGAACATCTATCACACAAGAGATCCAAGAAAAAGGAAGGCAGAGAAGAATGCCAGAAGGCCTCCATAGGTCCAGTAGGAGCTCGTGAACTTACTTAAGCACAAAAAGAAGGTCCACAGAGAGTGGAAGTAGGAATGAATTACCTGGGAGGAATACAGAAAATCAGTCTGAGCAGGTAAAGAAAGCTAAAACCCAGAAAGAATTACATCCAGCCAGGCACATTAAGAGGAGCAAGAAGAAATTCTACAGGTGTAACAGTGATAAAAGGAAGGACAGGGAAGATGCAGGCCCTCGCTGGAAGGAAAATGGAGACCTGGTCACAAGGGATACAGAGAAGGCTGAGTTGCTCAACGACTTCTTTGCCTCAGTCTTCATGGCAAGGACTCTAGCCACACTGCCCAAGCTGCAGGAAGCAAAGGAAGAAGGAAGGTCCACCTGCTGTAAGTGAAGATCAGGTTTGTGACAGTCTAATTCTATTTGCGAATTCTATGGGAATATATTCTATATGTGATTCTATGATACTCTCACCCTTTGATTCAAAGGAGTTGGTTAAAATGGCTTCTTACACAGCTTGAGATGCTGAAGTGATTCAGAGAAGGTAAGATGCATCAAAAATATTAGCATAGTGATTTGATAAAAGAGAAATACAGAAAAGCTGTATTTTAGAAAAACCTATATTGAAAGATTTAGGAAATGAAAACAAAAGTTTTGTATCAAAATGTTCTGGTTACGTTTGGAATCCTCTCAACCCCCACTCAGAGCTGGGGAATCCTGTTGCAGGTGTCTGAAGGAAGTAAGTTACGCTTGCATTGTTTGGTTCGTCATTACGTACATTGTTTTGATTGTCTACCAACACTGAGGCTCTTTAAAAGTACAGGATAGTCGTTTGGGTGCAACATTGAACATGCAGTAAAAAAAAAAAAATTAGCTGCAGAGTCAAAGATAGGACTTCAGGAGCTGTGATGATTATGATTGGCATGCAAGCTCTAATTTGGAGACTGATGGATGCACATTAACATACTTTCATCTTGGAGTCTGATTACCACAAGCAGAAACTATCTGGGATTAAATAATTATAATATCTTGTAATTAATATTAGTCTAAAGTGAGTAATTGGCCATCTCCAACGCTTTGGAAACGAGCATTTTCAGTGAATTACTTGCTTTGCTACCTGGAATGGTGGAATGATTGTTTTATTCCAGTCACTTTATGATGAGAAAACCTTGCCCATCCACCAACTTTAAATGACATCTCTTCCCACATTTGAGCCTTTTTCTTTCAGGCAACATGCCAAAATTTCTTTTATTGAGATTTCCAAGAGTTCACAATCAGAAACCTTCTGTGACAGGAGGAAGCTGTTGAGCCAGTTGATCATGTCTTTGCTTATCCCTGCCCCTGATCAGCTCACTTTTGTACCCTTGTGGATAATCATCAGATGACATAAATAAGAGTTTCCTATGTTGCTCTATGCAAATGGCAGGGCTGCCATAGGAACAGCTGCAGTTTAGGGACAGTAACCAGATACTTGATGGCTGTTTCCTATTTTCAGCCAAAAGGATCTTGGCAGTTCAGAGACTGCTTCCATGTACATGGGGTAGATAGTGACAGGAAACTCGAAACAGCGAAAGTAGAATGCTGATGAGAGCAGCCAGTAAAAATGGGCTTGTTATCTTAGATGTGACAAGATCTTTGAGACAGATGCTAAGAAATGCTTTCATTTCTTTTCAGCTGTGATTTCCTTGCATTTGAGACCATTTGTAATGCAAATATTTCATCTTTAGAAGCAATTGCTGTTGTATTATGGATTTACGTTGAATACATAGGAAATGTGGCATGTCACATGATTTTGCAAAGAAAGACCGCTTTACTGGAAGAAATTTCAAGCAGTGCTAATAAAAAGTCCATGAAATAGGTGAGAAAATGAATATATCCAACGTTACGTGATCATATTATGCCATTCAGTTTTAATTTCTAATCAAGTTGCACTTGTGATTTTTTAGATAAAAAAAATTAAAATCTTGTTCTTCAGCATTTTTTCTCCCTCACTTTAAGTAATACTTTTCGTGCAGTCCTGTCTTCTAGTTTTGCATGGTAATTAAAATTTTCTTAGGAATGGTAACTTCTTACTGAAAAATAGGCAAAGACTAAATAAAATAAAACTTAACATTGTACAAACAATATTAAGTATTGGGTGTGATTTGCCTTTTTGAAAAATACTATAGTAAAAGAATTATTAATGATTAAAAGAAAAAAAAAAGGAAAAAGGAAAAGAAAAAAAAGAGATTGCACGAGTCAAGGAGAAGAAAAAAAATTAGCTGCAATCTTTTGTTTGCTCTTATTCTGGTCTGACTTCTTCTCATAGCTGCAGCAGATTCATGAGCAAATTAAGTATCTTTTACATTGTTCAGCCTGAAAACCATCAAGTACAGAAGAAAAGAAGCCTAATTTGTTACCTTAAATATTTTGCTGAAATAAATAATAAATATAAAGTTACCTTTGAAAATGCAACGATTTTCAAAGAGATTGTTGCCAAGTACAAGGAGTTCATTACAAAATCCATGAGGTTCCACCAATCATGAATGTAGTCCTGTAGTCCACCATCCCACATCTGTTTAATTTCACCCCAGATAAAGCCTGTAAATAGAACACAATTCATTGAGCATGAACACTAAATAAAAACGTCTGCAGCTACTCTAGACACTTATCTCACAATAGATTGAGTTTCCTTACTTTAGTTACACAGAGAAGGTGGATGAGTGCTCTAAATTACATATCTAGTCAGGTGAAATTTTTATTTTTCAATTAATGCTTCTGCAATTAACTTTTCAGGTATAACTACTCATAAAAATAACTAATCTGCTTGTACAAGGGAATTTTCTTTGGCTTTCTTCAATCCCCTTTTCCATCATATTCTAGTAAGTATAAAGAAGGTCACAAAACCAGTCATTATTTCCAAGCCTGTCCTCATTAACTATCGCAATAGAGTTCAACTGGAGATTGAAGGAGCCAAGACAACTCATTAACTTATTTAAATAAAACAAACACTGTAAGGGATAGAACTTCTATTGTTTGCTGCCAAAGCTGAAGTAAAGTCTGCCTTTCCTATAGGAAAGAACAGTTTCTTACATTGAAAATATTTTGTTGATTCCTTCCTTTGGGGTCTAAAGGCATAGAAATTTTGTTCAGGTTTGCAAAACAGTGGGAAATCTTGCAAGTTGTCTGACACGACCTCAATTCAACAGCTTCAGAAACAACTGTGTCGAGACTCCCAAGTGCTGCAAACTGTAAAATCTCTCTGAAGAGCCTACTCCAAATATTGTATTTACTGAACGGATTCATATTGCATACATATAAAATATGATTTATTCCATATGTTGGCAAAGAAGAGCTGCTTTGCTCTGCATTATATGGAATGATAAAACACATAAACAGTGGCATATATAGAGAAATACTGCATATTACCAACAGGTCTTTTTGTAGTGCCAGTAGAGTTTTTACATTTTTTCTGTTAATTATTTGAATAAAATAATTTCCTACTTTCATGCTAATTGAAGAGATAACATTTACAGTAATTAAGGCCAGCCTATAACATATGGATGTTGAGATACAGTTAATTCATCATGGCTTTCCTTCAGCTGCTGATCATGTGTTCTTTTAGAAAGTATCAAACAGATTTTATGCAGGATCCACATCACTTTAAGTCATAGCTTAGCTGACTTTGAACCTTGAAATTTTGTCTCAGTGCTGACTGTAAGGGTAAAGGAGGTCAAATGGGGGGGGATAGATGGGATGCGTACAATTTGATTGTGTAGTGTTTTGCATTAAGTCATTTTGTCTCCTGATTGCTTTTCAAAGGAAAAAATCCTTTCCTCTCTACCTTGTCCCATCAGGTCTCAGACACACATTCCCATTTTGTTTCTGCAACTTATCATCAGAAATCAGAAGCCTCAGAAGAATCTGAATCATCTAATAGGTCCAGCAACTTTTATTTTCATACAGCTCTATTTCAAACACATCATCATCACTATTTCACCTGCCTGCATAGTTGTAGGAACATCCATTATATGTCTGCTGCTCCTACTTTTTGTCCAAGCACCATCACAATGGGAATACACCTTCAAAAGTTTACTAGGCAGGCTCATAAATGCCTGCCAGTTTCAGCTTGTACAAAGCCTTAACCATCTGCTTTTCAAAGGGCTGCACACTCCTGTCACAGAGTACAAACAAGACTATAGAAGATCTGGCTCTCTCTTCCCTCCAGACTACCCTCCGGCATACAACACGTAGTCCATGTACTTGCAAATATTCTTGCTTGGTCTTTTGCTATGCTGTAGGCACAACATCTTGAGCATCATCAGGCCATAGAAGCAGTGGTTTTGTGGGCTGTAATATACTCGTCACATTTCAAACTCTGCTTTGAATTGGTCCTGCTCAAACTGCAAAAATGCACATAAAATCCAGTGTGCCACAGGAGCCTGTGGTGGGGCTCAGAAGAGACCTGGAGACTAAGACTTGCAATAGAGGTATGATCCCTAAGCCTCATTGTTAGTGAACAGATCCTTGCCAATTCTTACTATGCGATCTTGACACTAGGATGACTCCTGTCACTCAGAAAGCAGACAGCTGCATTGATAAAAAGCTTCCAAATTTTAAAAAATAAAATAAAATGAAATGAAATAAAATAATGAAAAGCTTTATAGAAATAGAATACAATGACATAACAAAAAAAAAATCTTTTCTAATTCATTGCAGTTAAATATTTCCTTTAAAATGTGCTTAGGGAAGGAGTAGGTTGTGCTGATCAATAAAATAAATACTTAAAGACTGTGAGTTCATTAAAGTCTTCTGCTGAAGTACTCCATGATTTACAACTGCCAAAGACATGAACTGACATAAATGCAACAGGGCTATTCTCTGTAAGACTGTTGTTCAGCATCACATACTTTGGTAGCACTGATGGAAATACAGAATTATGTATAGACTGAAAAATAAATGCCATCTAATGCTTTGGCATAGATCTTTTGTTTTGTGAATGAAAAGCCACACTCTTATTCCAAACAGTACCTTCTTCTCTGAAAATGAAATATATTTATAAAGTTGATGTTAAGGGAAATACTGACCTATTAAAGATTTCTCGTGGAACAGAATAGTGTTAAAGTTGCTTGTCAGTGAAAAATTGTGAATACAGTTTGATATTGTAATATTGGTGATTTTATTTTATTTTATTGCTCCAAGACTACATATCAGTTTTATTCTGATGCAGGGATTGCTCTTTTTAAGCAAATAATTTTGGAAGTCCTACATTATTTTTGGCTATGCTGGAGATTTGATATATTAATCATTCTTGACATCCAAATATGTAAGTGCGAACTCCTTAAATAAACACAGTTACTGAAATTTTATGGGACTCAGAGAAGCTGACTCTAACTGACCATAAGGGAGCAGATCGTCTCCATTAAGTGATAATTAAGTGATAAAATTGTTCTTTTCTGTTCAGCAGCTGACACAAAGCAGATTCACTGTGGCTGGGGATGAGATTTTTCTGACCTAATTTTAATTGTCTGCAGTGCAAACAGCTCCATCTGAGGTAGCCACCTTGGATTCCCTTTAAATTCAATGGAGAGAGAGGGTACCTGGCACAGATGCAGATTCCAGACTTCAGATATCTACATATCAGATGAATCCTAGTCTCACAGTCTACTCCTAATGTAGAAATTAGGGAAAAGATCTCATTAGGAGCTCTTCAGTGAAGTGGAATTCATTTAGATTCAGTATTTTTAAAAATGGCACTGCTTTTGAGCAATTTCCATGACTTGAAACTCAGAGTCTGGGTCAAGACTTTAAAAGCTTTCAGGGCTGTGATACTGAAGTGGGATTTGAAGGCATGAGATTCTGTACCATGTATTGGTACTTTTCTGCTTTTAACACAGCTTTTGGTGTCAGGTGTTCAGGTTTGAAATGAATATTCCAGCAAATGGATTCTATACTCGTGACAAGCATGTGTCCATATCCATATGTGAACAATAGCATTTCCCAGGCAAGTCAGATACCTATTATTCTCTTTGAATGAGAATCTTGGGAGATACAAAGTCCTAAGATGAATTAACAAAATCTGTAACTCCGTGTCAATGACACCATGGAAGCTGAATTCAGTCTTTGGAGATACCAGGTCTCTATGGATAGGTGTTCTGATGGGTATTGAAATAATGAATGCTGGAAGAACTGGAATGTTCTGTAAGTCCTCCCAAATGCACATGGAGGGTTTTCCTAGAAAAGTGTAGAGTCTTTTTGCAAAAACAAACACTTCTTCAAGGCCTAGTAAGCCTACATGATGGTTCTACACTGGGCAAGGAGCTTCCAAGATTCCAAGCTGCATGGTTCAGAGTTAATTTCTAGTCACACATCCAGAGATTGTGAAATGCTGTTGTAGATCATAAAAAGGAACTTTTTGCAAGAGGGAGAAGTCAGCATGAAGAAGTCAGGTCTTCTCTTCACGGAGTCTGATACATGCCAATTTTGTTTTCTTATATTCACTGGGAGAATCAGCAGCTAAGAAAATAATGTATTTTTTCTTAAAGAAATACACACAGAAATCAAGGAAGTATTTTCTCTGTGACCTTACATACTCTCTCTTTCTACTTGGAATACTTAAGAGTATCTGGACACAATCTGACTTTGTCTGAGGAGTCCAGTCCTCATCATCCTGTTTTTATCATTTATTTCCACGTAAATTATCAACACTATGCAGCTATTCCACCTCATTAATCAAGGATTTAAAACAAGATGCTGAAGACATTGAAACATTTATTGTTTATAGCTTAAAAGCCAAGTAAAGAAAGAGAAATAATAGCATGGATATTTTGAAACAGGTTGGCACTATACAAATTAATGTGAGTTAGTATCTTATCGTTTTAATGGAATTAAATAGACTTAAATACAGGGCAGGAATCCTGCAGACCACATGAAGACCTGGGAATTACAAGCAGCATGGAGACATTTTGTGAAGCACTGTGAAGTATTACAAGTTAGCTGATGAATGCAACTTGGCTGTAGTACAGTTTGACTGATAATTCAGCTTGATTGTGAAAGAAAGTTATGATATTATTCTGAACTTTTAGAAAGATTTATGGATTACTAGCTAGTTTTGCCCTTACCTTTCCTGTGAAAAGTTTAGAGTTCTGTGCTATTTTTGTTCCTTACCATTTAGTGATGGGAAGAAGAAGGCTCTCCAGAGTCAGTCTCTGCATGCCAAGTACAACAACAGCCTTTCAGTATGTTTTCACGGGGCTGTGAAAGTAGTTAACTGACAAACTCAACTTTTCTCTGCAAATTACTCTAGAGTTTTTACAGGTACAAGAAGTGAGATGCTAAAGATCTAATGCTCTCAGAAACAAGGGGAGGTAATTCCAGGGAATTCAGTGAGCTTTAATAATGCTTGAAATCTCTCTTCTGTTTTACACGTGATCTGACAAACTGATTTCTACGGAAGGCAGATGACAGTGGCAAGAGGAACAGTGAGTTCTTCTGGTGTAATTCTAGGGCATATTTTGTTAATGAAATACAGCTATTGCAATGAAACATGTATGAATTTAAAAGCAACCAGCAACCAGGGTGGGTTGTTTTTGGTTTTTTGG